TGTGCAAGACAAGGGGGATTTCCAGCTCGTTCAGACTCCACCATCAGGTCCCTGGGGTTGTGTCCTCTGTTTACTGTTGTTATCAAACTTGGGGTCACAACCTATGCTCCAAGGCAGGTCTGGCTACTCCTCCTCCATAAGTCAACCAAAGGAGCCAAATTAAACATAGAAATCAGAAAAGAAAAAAAAAGTATTCAGTGTGGCCATGGCCCAGTGGTGATGCTGCACACCTTTGGTCCCAGCACTCAGAAGGCAGAGGCAGACAGAGCTCTGTGAGTTTGAGGTCAGCCTGATCTATAGAGAGTTCCAGGACTGCCAGAGTGGCTACACAGAGAAATCCTATCTTGGGGAAAAAATAATAATAATGTGGCCATATTGGGGGAGAGAGGGAAAAATAGTTCCAGAAAACTCCCAAGTTTTGGAATCCTGAAGTGAGAGCAAGGTTTAAATTGAGGGCGGACGCTGGGCTGTGGTGGCGCATGCCTTTAATCCCAGCACTCGGGAGGCAGAGGCAGGTGGATCTCTGTGAGTTCGAGACCAGCCTGGTCTACAAGAGCTAGTTCCAGGACAGGCTCCAAAACCACAGAGAAACCCTGCCTCGAAAATAAATAAATAAATAAATATAAAAATAAGAGGGCGGAGAATGAGCGCATCTAAGCAGTGTGGTCAAGGTGTCAGTCAAGGGGGTCCTGCACTTCCTTGACTGTCACTGTCAGGACTTCAGCCTCATCCGGTAAGGTGCTCTGACAGCTTGTGACCTGTGTGAAATCTTTCAGGGAGACAAGTTCCCCTGTAGCTAGTGCCTTTCCTTCTCCCAGCAGGAGGTTTCTGGGGAAATTCCTATTTCTTTGGGGCCCATTGTTTCAACAGTTTGATAGTCACAACAGTGTCTTTAGAATTCTTCATTCCTTCCCAGGCAGTTACAGTACCACAGCAAAGAGACAAAGTATCCATAATGTTCAGGGAGCTGAGAAGACCTCCTAGTCATGGCAACAGACAGGGTGGAGGTGGAGGCTGGAACTTTCCTTCCTGTCACTAAGATGGCAGAGCTTGAGACTGTGAACAACAGCTATGTTGTCCTTGGGAGCATTGCAGAGTCCCTAATCCCTGTTCCACTTCTGGGCCACCCTCATGCGGTTAGCAGAGGGGCACTTAACACCATTTCTCAGATCTTACATAGCCGTGAAGGGACAGGGTGCTGAGTGGTTCAGTGTATTAGTCAATTGCAAGGACATCAGAATGATCGGGGGCAGGCCAAAAGGTTACAAGCTGCAAGGTTCCTGGTGGATGACACTCTAGCAAAGGCAAAAGGAGAAGGACTGAAAACTGGCCAGGTGGGTGGGTAAGGGGTTGAAAGAAGTGTCAGGGCAGGACATTGTTTTGGACTGAGAGGTGGTGGTGGCTCAGTGGCTTGTAAAATATCTGCTCAAAGAAGGGGTCCTTACTGAATGTAAACACCCTTTAAATTTTGTTAAATGAAGACAAACAGCAATTGGGCAGGTAAGTAGAACAGTATTTTACTTACTATTTTATCTACAAATGTGGACAAATTTCAGAACAAATAATCATGCCCAAGCCCTCCCCCATCCCCTCCCCCGGGCTACTTCCCAGCTCCTGTCAGGGGTCCTTGCTGTACGACCCAGTGGCAGTCAGTGGCTTCCCAACAGTGCTTTGTTTTGTTTTTCAAGATAGGTCTTCTCTGTGTAGCTCAGGCTGTCCTGCAACTCACTCTGTAGACCAGGCTGGCCACAAATTCACAGAGATCCGCTTGCCTCTTGCCCCCTTAGTACTAGAATTAGCGGTGTGTACCACCACCGCCTGGCCCCACCTGGGCTCTTTATCTTAACCCAATGCCTCTGCTGCCTAGACTGCTCTCCCTCTCCCACCCAGCTCATTCCTTTACTTCCTTCAAGTCTTTCTTTAAAAGCCTCTATCTCAGCTGAAGCCTGCCTGAAGCCAAACTGCCTCCAGGAGCGCACTGACCCAGAAACAGCTGGATTGGGGAGCATTGGCACCATCAACCCACTCCTTCCTTCTTTGATTTCAGTGCACCCCTGTGGAGCTGTGCTGTGGGGATGGGGGGGGTGCATCTGCTTTGCTCATTTGTGTCCTCACAACAGTCCCTGCCCCACAGGAGATGTTCAGTACATGCCTGGCAGATTAAAGAGCACCCAGATAAGCCAGCTCCACACCCTACTCTAGTCCTCATGCATGAGCAGCTTCCAGCACTGAGTCATCCAGACATTCAGTGACTCCAGCAAACATTCATTGCTCTGGTTTTTGTGTTTTGTTTTGTTTTCCAAGACAGGGTTTTGGAGACTGTCCTGGAACTTGCTCCACAGACCAGCCTGGCCTTGAACTCACAGAGATCCACCCGCCTCTGCTGCTTGAGTGCGGGGATTAAAGGCGTGTGACACCACCACCACCCGGCACTCAATTTATTCTTTTGTTTTCTGGAAAGAACTTTACTTCTTTGGTTTGGGTGGGCAGGGTTGCCCATAGCTCAAGCTAAGGATGTAGCTGAGAATTGCCCTGAATGCCCACCTCCACCTCCCAAGTGCGAGAGTCCAGGCCAACACTATGCCTAGCTTCCAAGATGGATTTCTGCAGGGCTCACAGACCCAGCACGTAGGGAAGAAAGAGTCTAAGAGAAGTAAGCTTCTCATGTGCCCTTGTCTGACCTGCATCAGGCCAGACAGACTCTCCCCTAGTCCAGACTGGCAGGTGGGACGCGTTGTCAGTAGACATAAGAGCGGACGAGCGCTTCTCCAGGAAGTGGCACTAGGGCAGTCATGCAAAGGCACAGTGGTGTGCAGATGAGTGGCCTGCTCAGACACTGTCCAGGAACGTGCCCTGGCCGTCTCCACTCACATTCTAGGGGAGTGAGGTCACCTGAGACTCACAGGTCTTATCTTCCTAGTTCACGGTTGCCTCCACCCTGACTCAGCCAAGCCCTAGCCCTCTCTGATCACGTGATCCCTTTCCGTCACTTTGCAGATCATGACCCACCTCAGCCCTCTTTTGTTTACAAATGCTGTGGTACAGCACACACTCCTTAAGAAAAGGAAATTACTTGCTCAGAAAAGACACTCTCAATAGTGCATCTGACCTCTAACCAAACAATAGGAAAGGTCAGAAGAAATTGAAATGAAAATTAAGTGGGCACAAAACCAGACAAGAGTGTTAATTAATGGCTGTGTAAGTGGCCTGGCAGCCTGGGGAAGGGTTCAAGAGCCAATCACTGCCATGAATGATGAAATGTCCACTGCAAACTTATCAGTAGCAATGTAAAACTGCGCATTTAGAAAAGGGTCCTGCAGCTTTTCACAACACTAAACACACCGGCTATACAACCCAGCCACACATTCCTTGGAACTACCCCAGGGGAATACTGGCCAGAGGATATCCACAACATGTTACTCATAGCTGCCCCAAACCAAAACAACACAACAACCCATTGACATGTGACGGATAAACCGGTACATGCTCACCATGGAATACCTGACACAGCGATGAACATGAGAGCAGCAACAACATGGCTGATCACAGGTGGGTGCCAAGAGAGAAACTAAATACTAAGCTAGGGAGTGGTGGCGCACGCCTTTAATCCCAGAACTCGGGAGGCAGGGGCAGGCGGGTCTCTGAGTTCAAGGCCAGCTTGGTCTACGTGGCAGTTTCCCTGACGTTCAGGGCTACACAGAGGAATCTGGTCTCAAACAAAAAGAAAGGAACTGGATACTAAAAGGTCAATATTGTGCAGTTCCATTATATAGGACGTTCTTGGAGAAATCTGTTTAGCTAAAAATCAGGGAGCATAGTTCCATCCAAAGGAAGACACCAATTGGCAGTGGACCCATGGAGATCTCTTTTTTTTTTTTTTTTTTTTTTTTTTTTTTTTTTTTTTTTGGTTTTTCGAGACAGGGTTTCTCTGTGGCTTTGGAGCCTGTCCTGGAACTAGCTCTGTAGACCAGGCTGGTCTCGAACTCACAGAGATCCGCCTGCCTCTGCCTCCCGAGTGCTGGGATTAAAGGCGTGCGCCACCATCGCCCGGCTATGGAGATCTCTTTTTAGCTGCTAAGTGCTTACTTATCGTCACCACCACCACCAGTCACCGCCGCCACCACCACCACCAGTCACCACCATCATCACCACCACCATCACCACCACCAACACCATCACCACCACCACCACCAGTCACCACCACCACCAGTCACCACCACCACCAGTCACCACCACCACCAGTCACCACCACCACCACCACCGACGTACACTTTGTGTCGGTTAGGAACACACAACTTCAAGCACTCTACCACTGAGGTACACACACCCAAGCTTTCTGTATGTTCATTTGTATGGTGGTCTTATAGATGTGGACATCAAATTTGCACCGTAATTAACAGAATATGATTCTGTGAACATGCATGGCAAACTTTCCAAATACTATTTGCTGAGGAGTAGTTACAAATACTGTGGTTTCTAGGGAGACATTGGTTCCTGGGGAGCTCGCTTTCCAGGGACCTCGTAAATCTGCCTTTCTTTTGGGAAAGGTGACTTTTTCACCCAGTACCAAACACGCCTGGGGGCAATCTCTCAACAGTAGCTTCAACAGCCCCAGGTGGATGAGTTGCACAGCGCCAGTCCCAGCAGAGTTCCAGCTGGAGACTAGGTATGCCTTTTGATGCCCAGTCCCAGTGAAACGGGGTCTGGGTTATCTGTGCTTGCCAGTGAAGCCAGTGCCTAATATTAGATGACTGTCTTAGAGAGGATCAGAATTGCCCCACGGGTCGAAGTTACGTGTTTTTCAGATGGGTCCATGTGGGTCCTACAGATGCATCTGGGGCAAACCCGAGAACAATCGGCATCCTTGAGGGGCCAGCCCATCATTGTTGCGGCCGCGAGAGAAACGCGCGGCGCGGTCTCTTTAAGAGACGCCAGGAATGTATCCAAACAGACAGTGCGCGCGGCGCACGTGACTCACAGCTGATTTCCGGCCCCGCCCCCCTCTCCGGCCCGCGCCGCCCGAGAGTCAGTTCGCTGCGGCCCGCGGTCCCCAACCTCGGCGCGCGCGATGGCACACGCGACCCCGCCGAGCGCGCTGGAGCAGGGCGGCCCCATCCGCGTGGAACACGACCGCCAACGCCGCCAGTTCTCCGTGCGCCTCAACGGTACCGCGCTGCCTTTGTTTGCGCGCGCGCGGGCGGGACGGGGCGGGACCTGCGGGCGGACGGATCCCGGGGCGGGAGGGCTCCCGAACCCCGATAGGCACCGGCGGAGCGCGCCCGCCCGGGCAGCCCGCACCTGCTAGCGCTGCCGGCTTCCGGCATCGCGGACGGAGGGCTGCCACCCTGGATCCTAGAGAGCAGGTCGCTGGTGGCCTGTCATCCCCCCCCCCGGGTGTTCGATTGCTTCCTGCCGCCCCTGGAGGAGCCTGCGCGGGCCTGGGGCATAGCCCCGGGAACTTGTGGCCTGGAGGAGGAGGCGGGTAGGTGGCTCTGAGATGTTAGTTAGGCCAACTTGCCCGGTCGATGTGTTCCTCGGCCTCCCAGAATCTGCAGTGGGGATAGTAGTAGTGAACACCGCTTTGGATGGCAGTGAGGATGAGATACTGTGGCATTAAAGGTTCAGAATGACACATTCGGTGCACAGCGAGTGCTGATAAACATAGGTAAATGGCTACTTTTCAAACCGGAGAGCTAGGTCAAGGCCTCTCGTCTTCTGTAGCGTTTGTCCCAGCAGGCCGACACTCCCATTGATCCTAGGGACTGGAAACGAATATGAAATATGGGACCTTGAATTCTTTTTAGCCTACCCCTCCCATCTGGGCCCTCTGAGCTGTCTGTGACCTAACTTAGAGGCCACTGCGCCAGTGAAAGGACACACTTGCGTGAGGTCTGCCAGTGAGTTGTGCAGCAGAGAAGGTACGGATCGGCCTGTCCTGAGTTTCTGAGCCAGTCTTCTGTGACCACCACTTGGTCCCAAGCAAAAGAGGCCTGGCCTCCCATTTGTGCCTCCTACCTACAGTGGAGGCAGCTGTCGCTTCCTTGTTGTGACATACTGCCCCACATTTCACATGAGTAAACTGAGGCTGGGGCTCAGGAAGTGACTTGCTCAGCCTTAACAAGACCAGAGTCATATTCAAATCTGGGTCCAGCTGCCCCTGTGCTGTCACGCTCTTCCATAGAGAAACAAGTCCTGTCGTCGTCACGCTGATGGTGGCTCAGCTGGCAGTGACACTTGGCCCTGGTTACTTGAGAGGCCTTGTCTGGGTTTTGTTTGTTGATTTTTTTTTTTCCTCAGAATCTCTTTTCTGAAGTTTTCTGAGTTCCAGGGAGGCTGTGTATGATTCTCCAGGTGACTCCAGAGACCCATTAGATCCACAAAGAAAAAAACAGGGATCCCTTGGGCTTCTTTTCCCCTTTCTCTTCAAATGGGTCCAGTGAAAAGGACAGCACTCTAATGCTGCCTGTGAGCAGACTACAGCTTTAAACTTGAGCCTTGTGGAACCTGCTGCCCTGTCGCTAACCACAAATGGTGCCCTGGGGAAACAGGGTACCTAGAGGCTGGCAGCCCCTCCTCCACTCCTCCTGCACAGCCTAGGCCAACTAGGGTTCATTTCGCTAGTATTTACTGAGTACCTACTGTTTACCAGCACTCTTCAAGGTGCCCAGGGCTTGTGGTACTGACAGTCTATAGGGAGAGGTGGGTCTCAAATAAATTACATAATGTCTTATAAAACAAAGGCCCTTGGGAGAAGTGACACTGAACAAAAGAAGCAGTTGAGAGCAGAGGTCCTGCAGTCCCCGTTGTGTGTGTTCAGAGCAGCCAGGAGCAGTGCCTGGATAGGGGAGCTTGGCGGGTATGGTGAGACTGAGCTCATAGGGGGCAAATAGTATAGGGCCTGGAAATGTTGGCTTATATGAGTTTGGCTTTGACCCTGAAAAGAGAACAGATGACATGGATCAGGAACCCTAAGGCTGGGCTAGTGGGGAACATACTATGGGGCATGATAGAGCAGGGAGCTGGCTACTACCCTGGTCCACGCAGTTGTGAGCAGGGGTGGAAGAAATGCCTAAGTCCTGAGCAGAAGTGCAGGAAACAGCAAGAGCTTGCTGATGCGGAATGTGAGAGGAGACTAGAACTCAGGTATATATGAGTTCTGAAATACAGGATGTGTGGCCACTGTTTCCTAGGTGGGAGACCAAGGCAGGAGATTGTGAACAGCTAGTCTAGAATGGAACCTCAGGCTGCCTTCTGAGGGTTTGTCATCTAAAGGTTGGATGAAGTTAGATAAGGCCCCTGCCTCCAGCCCCTTCCTTGCCTTCTCTTTCCTTACCTCAGCCAGGTCTGTGTATGTGGTTTAAAGATTTGGGGTGTGTGTGTGTGTGTGTGTGTGTGTGTGACTTGTATTCCAGTGCCTGTAGAGGTCAAACGAGGGCGTCAGATCGTGCAGCTGGTGTTAGAGACAGGTGTGAAGAACTGAGGGTTCCCTGTAAAAGTAGAAAGCCCTCTTCACTGCTGAGCTAGCTCTCCACCTCTGGGACAGCTACTGGTGGCAAGAAGGCTCACTTAGATCCCTCCCAGAATCTTTCTACCCTCTACTTTGCAAGTAGGAAGACAGAACAAGAACTGAGCCCAGCTCATTCCTCCAGTTCCTGGGTGCCCATCACCGTCCCCAACATGCTTGTCATCAGAGGTCTGGGTCACTCAGAGCCTCACCTAGACTGAGTCCAGGTGGTCCATCCATTGCATGGTGTTGACGTGAGCATTGTGTCCCGTGATGGTGGGCAGTCAGGAGAAGCCCCTAGTGAGGAAACATCTGGAATGAGAAGGCGGTGCCCATCTGGGAGGCTCTGGGTACAGATGTGGCAAGTGGGAAGACCAGCAAGCAGCTAATCAAACACTTAGTGGCTGCTGTAGGGAGGGGCTGCAGTTAGGGTGTGGCTGGAGCTTGCTGGTATATCTGAAAGCAAGCCCAAGCAGACACCTGCTGGGGACTTGGCTGTTCTCTGGGGATCCCACTAAAAGCGCAGGGGCCAGGCCTCGGGGCTCCCATATGCAACTAGTCCATCTCTAGTCTCATGCATCCAGTGGGAAGAAGCAGGTTTTTGACAGACTTTTCCTGGGGGTTATGGGGACAAGGTGGTGATTGTCCTGACCACAAGACACCAAAGGCCACCGGGCTGTAGTGGCACACACCTTTAATCCCAGTACTTGGGAGGCAGAGGCAGGTGGATCTTGCCAGCCTGGTCTACAAGAGCTAGTTCCGGAATAGGCTCCAAAAGCTACAGAGAAACCCTGTCTCGAAAAAGAAAAGGAAAAAAAAAAAAACACCAAAGGCCTAGGCAGAGAATCACTGCGATATTCCAGGGTTGCCCATAGGCTAAGTAGGCTCTATGGGATTGAGAACAGGAAGAGACTGAAGATACTAGCAAATTTGCAAGAGCTCAGCCCCTGACTCCCAAGACTGCTTGGGAGCATAAGCTAGTCTTTTGGTGGCCCTAGGATCCCTGACACACTCAGAGCAGCCACTCTGGCCTCCTTGTTCTGAGTATCATGAGGACTTTGCTTCTGCTATCTCACCACCTGGACTTCTCACACCAGTGGGCCTTGTGTCCCCCATTCCTTCAGGACTTTTGCACAAAGGCCAGATACCCTCTTTCTAACAACTGTGTCCTTCCCAGATGACAGGCTTTGTCCTGAGAGCCCCCTGGCAACCCCTGCCATAATGGCTCTGCCTCTCCTCGGAGCCAGCTTGAGTATTTCTCTCACACACAGGCAGTCCCTTCGAATAAAAATTGTTGGGTTTGCCTTTGGCTTCTTTTGTCATTGAGCATACCTCAACTGCCATCTAGTCCTCCAGAGTGGACACCTCTGGAGTAGTCTGGCCTCCTCTTCCCACTAGAACTAAGGCAGCTGCTGCATTGAACTCTTTTGCCCTAGATTGTCACACAGCAGCCAGAAGATTCTGTGAAACTACAAATTACCTTCCTTCCCTCTACTAAGGACCTAGTTCATGATGGCCAAGAAGGCGTTGCAGGACCTGCCCGTCACTTCCCGCTCCCTTGGTCCACTCTCGCTAGCTACACCAGCATCCTCACTGTTCCTGCTGGAGCATCTCCCCGAGCCCATTCCCCATCGACTGATACGTTACACGCTACTTGCTTTTTCTTGCTTACCTTTGCTCCCCTTAGTCATGAGGGCAGATCTGTATGCCCAGCACCTGAGAAGTGTTTGCAACTTGATAAACATTGGGTGGATGAGTGACTAGGCAGTCAGAGAACTACAATTGTGATTTGAAGCAGCTTCCCCAGGAACATTTCCAGCAGGATTTTAGCAGACTGGTGAACTCTTGTCCTGGCAGGGCAGGGAGGGTGGATAACGATTTGTTCCTGCTTCCTGTGCCTAATGTTGATGCCTTGTGGACTCTGATTCAGCCTGAGTCTTGGCTGGGGGATGGGCAGGGCTTGTGCTCTGACTGATAGTGCCTCCTGTATCCTCCCTCTACTGAAGTCATGGGTTTATTAGGCTCTATTGTGCCCCATGCTGGACCTAAAAGTGGGGGTTAGCTGAGAACACAGGGTTAGGGTCCCTGGAATGACAGTAGCAAGGTCTTGTGGGTTATTGGGTGTTTTGGGCACCACATTGAGCAGAGAATGCCCCATTGAACTCTACACACAGCCCTCTGAGGAATGCCATCATGCTCCTTACTCTGGGGATATGGAAACCAAGGTACAGGGGTTGTTCAAAATTCAGCTCTTGTAGCGTACTGGTAGTCTGGCTCCAGATACCATTCTTTACCCTATCCTCCACACCTGGGAAGCTCCGAGGACTCCTGGAGTCCATGCCTCAGTTCTTTCTATCCCCTGGTCTAGGATGTCATGACCGGGCTGTCCTGCTCTATGAGTATGTGGGCAAGCGGATCGTAGACCTGCAGCACACAGAGGTTCCAGATGCTTACCGTGGGCGTGGCATTGCCAAGCACCTGGCCAAGGTATGATGGGCAGCAGACCAGGACACAGCTGTCACTCCTCTTGCAGGGAAGATCGACTGGTGGCTAACTCTAGTTTGTGTCTAGGCCACAGCTGCACAGGCCCATCTGGCCAAGAGTTTGCAGTCAGCAGTGGGAGAACTCTGGAGACTGCTTATTGTGCCCCTAGGCCTGCTGTGGCAGGTGACAACTCTTTTGAGCATAGGGTCCCTATAGCCTGATTCCACCTTGAGACCAGGACTTGGCACTCAGGACTTGTTTAGTAAGCCCTGATAATGCAAAGTAAATGAATGTCCGAGTCAGTAGGCTCATGCCCGGGTCATCCACCTCCACCTGCCTCTCCCAAGCACTTCAAAATTCCAGGCTTCCTGGGAACAAAGTACAGGTGAGACAAAGAATCCTTTTTGGGTGCAGCCCCCACCCTGTGTTTCTAGTGAAGCCCTCTGCTAGTTTCCCAATCCCGTGTCCCTCTCTTCCCCTCCCTGCTCCCTTACTCCCTTATTCTCCTAGATTGGAGGCCTCTTTTCCCTTCCCGTGGGGTTTCCTGGGCCTCGTGCCCTTACATACAGGACCTGGTCACAAGCTGGTCTGTAAATTAACCCAATTACCAGGGAAAGAACTTGAGACACTGAGCTAGGCAAAATGGGAAGATAGCCACATGGGGAACCTGGGAAAATAACAGCGCTGATGTCCCCCAGTCATGGACCACAATGGGCCTCAGTCCCCAGTAAGCTACAACTCTTAACAACTGTTTTCCCTTTGCTGGTCCAGGCCGCCCTGGACTTCGTGGTGGAGGAAGACCTGAAGGCTCACCTCACCTGCTGGTATATCCAGAAATACGTCAAGGAAAACCCCCTGCCACAGTACCTGGAGCGCCTACAGCCATGACCCTGGCCACTGTGTGCAGGAGTGCACCCTGTGGGCCTTCCACGTGGGCCTCAGCCAGCTCATGTGCTCTCAGGAACCTGTTCCCATGGGGACAGGCTCAGAGTTATTTTTGCAAGGACACTCATCTGCAGCCCTCATCCAGAATTCTGGGGACCAGCTGCTGGCTGAGGATGTGTGCATATCCAGAGTGGAATGAAGGACAGGCCAAGTGGCCAAGACCCTCTTCCCACAGAGGTCTGGCTTTGCTGAGGTTCTTCTTCCACCAGCCGCACATCCCGTCTAGCCTGGCTACTGGGTCCCTGCTCAGATCAGCAAGAGGGTGAGGTAGAGTCCCCGCCACCACGTCCTGGAGCTGTGTCCTTCCTGCAAATGAGGAGGGCGTTCCTGGAGCCAAGAAGAACAACAGGAACCCTATGTGCCAGCTTCCCAAGGAGGGGGTGCCAAGCCTTAGCCACTGCCAGTGTAACCCTTTCTCTTTCTCAGACTTGCGTGCCCTGGCACAGACAGTGGAACGGCAGCAGAGAGCACGCTCCTGGTGTGTGAGAGCTGTGCCCCCGGCCCGTCTGTGGGCATGCACGAGCACAGAAACAGGGCAGGTGACAGTGAATGCCTTCCTCTCCTTGGTTACCCACACTGTCTGTCTGGGTTCTGTAAAGAAACATGATCCTTGGCTGAGGGTCTGCTTTCCCATGGATTCACCTGCTGGAGTCAGTTCAAAGGACAGTGTTGGTCTGCTGAGCAGTGCGGTATCCTCGGCCCTCTCTGACCTTCCAGCAGCACTACCAGGCCTTTCTTGAAGGTCACCTTGGAGATGGGTGGGAAGGTGACACTGCAAAATCCATTTTGTATCCTCTCTTGTGTTCCTGGCTTCTGGTCGTCTCCACTGCTGCTTAGCCACTCCAGACACCTTCCCACTCTGCAGGAGTACTGAAATCTGTAGCAGGAGACCATGTATCCTGACTGGCTCAGAACCCTTGAGCCTCACTCACCACTGCAGTCATGGCATGGGTCTTCATGGTCCCCACCCTTGGCATTTCCCTACCTCTTGCACCCCTGACTCTTACCCTGTTCTTGATGTTCCTTTTCCAGCCTCCTAGAACTCTGGGATGACCCAACATACCTCCCCTGCCCTTCTCTGTCTGCCAGGAACTCTTTTCCGGGTCCAGACAAACCATGGGCCTCTAGGAAGACATTGCTGACAGTATTCTGCCAGCTGTGATGGCAGTGTGTCTACAACACAGTACTTGAATGAGGGTCCCTGACTCGTGGACCCAAGAAGAGTGGCTAGGCTTCCTCGGTGAACTTGTTTCAAGTCGCTGCAGGGTGGCCTGAGCATCCTCACTGCCTTGGCAGCCTTAAAGTCCCACTGCCCATGACCCGGAGGCTTCCCAGCCTTGCGGTGTAGCAATAACCATATCTCTGCCTCTTCCTCTTGGCCAACCAATACTGCCCAACTGGGCCACTCTGGTGCTACCCATCTGCCTCTCCATCCCACCTGCTCCATGTCCCGGCTCACTCCAGGAGTCCATGGTTAGCCACTGGTCGCTCGGCTTCATGTTCCTTCAGTAGGTCTGTGCTGTGGTCAGTTTTTACCCTGGGGTTTCTCTTCCTTGCCCAGTCTACCCAGGCAGTAACTCATGTGCCTTTCCTACTCAATCTGCCACCAGTAGTATCTGGGCCAAGGCTGGTCTTGGGACCTACATCCCCCTCATTTTTCTGACTTTTGAACAGATTGCATGATCCTGTTGGTAACTGATAAAAGACTAAGGCACAGGCAAGGTCAGGGAGCCCCAGAGTGAAGGAATGGGGAAGAGATAGATTGTGTAGGAAGCGGTCCTCCCTGGTGTCCAGCCTGTTTCTTGGTCCTCAGCACTACCTGTGTAGTGGGACCCCCCCCCCCCCCCACTTCAGGGGAGCCTACGCTCTGAAGGCTACCGTGGGCCGACGGGTCTTCCAGCACAATAGTGGTAATTAGCATTGGGATCCCTACTCCTCATTGCCTGGGCAACAGCTTTATAAGGATTCCTAGAAGAGGTCATGGTCCCATACTAGCCTCTCATACATGAGCTGCTCTTTGCCCGAAGTTGGTCATTTGGGGATTCTTGGCCCAACGTTGGTAAACACAGGAGCAATGCAAGTTTTCCAAAACAAGAACACAGAATCTGCTCGTGCCCGCTCCTCTTAAATGGGACCTAACCCACCAGGGCTTGGGTAGCTAGTATACATTGTGGGCCCTAAAGTGGTTTTACCTTTAATTCTCATGAAAAGCCCAAGAGACACCAGTTATTGGACCTGTCCTGCAGATGAAAGGACAGGGTCAGATTGAGGGAGTCACCAGCCTGTAACCCATACAGCTAGACAGCCCAGGATCCAAAACTAATCCTTGTCCTCTAGATGGTTCCCAGCTCGTGTGTTGTGATCAGATGTCTACTTTGGGAAACAATACATAGATAAAGTTTTTAGCAGTTCCCTTATTCCTTTGAAGGACTGAGATAGGGCTCTGTCTTGAATTATAAGGTACATGGTCAACATCTAGAAGTCTGGCTTGAGAACAGGAACACTCCCCTGGAGCACCAGGCCACTCACCTATTGTTCCTCAGATCAGGACTTGGGTTGGTCAAGACCTCCCACAAGTCCTTCTACTCAGGGTCCTACTTCCAGCTCATTGCCCTACATTTCGTACATGAGATCCTGTGCAGCTGTGGGCTGAGCTTTTAACTGCAACCTCCAGGATCACATTTAGGGATTTCAGCTGTGTCCTATGGCTTCAAGATATTAAAGATGCTTTTCTGGTTGTCAAATTGTATTCTCTGGTTCTCTTTCAGTGCCTTGGGATGGTCTTTCTGTCAGTCTTCAGTTTGGTCCTCAGTCACTAAAACCCAAGCCAGCTGGGAGGTCTTTGAGGCAAAGCAAGTGATCGTCGCAGCCCTTTTTTTTTTTTTTTTTTTTTTGGTTTTTCGAGACAGGGTTTCTCTGTAGCTTTGGAGCCTATCCCAGCACTAGCTCTTGTAGACCAGGCTGGCCTCGAACTCACAGAGATCCACCTGTCTCTGCCTCCCGAGTGCTGGGATTAAAGGCGTGCGCCACCACTGCTCGGCTTTTTTTTTTTTTTAGTTTTTCGAGACGGGGTTTCTTGTTGCAGCACTTGTATATTAGTCTGCTGTGTGATGTCACAGCAGAACCAGGGCTGGACATTCTATAAAGAATTTATTTGCTTCTAGGATTCCCCAGGCTAGAGAGTCTAAGGTCAGGGTCACACCTGGCTTCTTGCTACACTGTTTGTGGCAGGCAGCGGAAGGGCAAGGGAGCAGACAGGCTTTGCAGTAGTGGTGCAGTGATGATCAGCCCATGCCTAAGGGCTGAAACCCTTCACCTCTACTGGGGGTTGAGCATCAGTGCATGCTCATGAGTTTTCAGGGGTCTGTTTTTCCCAGCAATGGGAGCATCTAAAGGATGCTTTGTCCCCGCACATACATAATGTGCCTACATAACCTAGAGGCTTTCCACTGTCTCTGACCTTCTCTCCCATTACTGTTCCATCTCAGTTTCCCATTCCCAGAAATGACCTCCTGTTTTGCCTTGGGGTCTTTGTTCATGCTGTTTCCTCTGTGGTGTAGAAAGAGCCATGTATGGCCGTAGTTCCATCCACACCTTCAGGCCTGTGCCCAGCTTGCCATCCTTCCACCCTCATTTAAGTTGCTACAGCCTCCTCTCCTGACTCCCTTACCCTGCTCTGTATTTCCCAAGTCTTAATTTCTTCTTATACAATGTATAATTTCTATTGTCTTCTTTGTTATCCAATCCATTGTCTCTTTCTGCTAGGATGCAAGCCCCCGCCCCCAGCAGTGGAAACCTGTATTCTATCTTCTGTGTTTTGTTTTCCTTTTGTTTTGTTTCATGTTTTGTGACAGTCTTGCAATATTTTTTTTTTTTTGGCCTCAAAATTGCTTTGTTGTTGGGGCCTTTTAATTCCTGGTCCTTCTGCCTCAGCCTCCCAAGTGCTTTGATTGCAGGCAAGCACTACACAACTCACTGATTGTTTCTCTTTCTCTTAACTGAGACATCACAGTATCTAGATCAGTGCCCAGCATATACAGAAAGCACAAAATACCTGTTGGATTAAGTGATGGATAGATGGCTGGACAGATAGATGAATGGATGGATGGACAAGTGAGTAGATAGGTTGACAGATGGGGAATAGCTGGGTGATGAACAGAGGGGTAAATGGATGGGTGAGGGAATGGACAGGTAGATAAATGGACAAAAGGATGGATAGAGAGGCAGGAAATGAGTAGATGGATGAGTGAGTGGGTGTGCAACTCGTGCAAGTTACAGTGTGTAAACAAGAAAAGAGGGTAGGGAGCGTTTGGCCTCCAGTGTTGGAAAAGCGAATCACTAACAGCCTCCGTGTTTGATTTCCACTGAGATAAATTAACTTGTAAATCATGGCTTTTTTTAGCTCATGGTTTTAGAAGTCCAAAATCATGATGTAGACTAGTTGCTTTCAGGCCTCTGCTGGGGTCCTGTGTGGCAATGGCAGGGAACATGTTAATGTGGCATTCTCTTCAAGGCCAGAAAATAACAATATGGAATGGTTGGAGACATTGCTTTCAATGTCACAGCATCGGTGACCTAACTTCCACTAGGCTCTACCACTTAAAGGACCTACCACTCCCAAGAGCACCATCAATTGGAAATCATGTCTTCCATACCACAGCCTTTGGGAGATACTCCATATTCCAATCCAACCTTAGCAAACTTGGAAGAACACTCAGTAAGATTGCAAAGGATTCGGCTGCAAAGACCTCAGGACAGTTCCCAGGGGCTGTGGACAGATGCTTCCACCCCACCCCCACACTAGCAGGGATCAAATGCAGTCCACAGCCCTTCTCTCAGTGTAGTCCACTGAGACAGAGACAGGACTTCACTGCTACAATCCATATTAGGAAAGGTGTGGTCACAAGCAGAACTTACTGGAAAGAACACTCCTCAAATTCCTGAGGGGACTTTGTCGCTAAGGACTCCAGAGCCTATGGCTGTGAGTTCCAAACCTGTTTGGGCAGAGGAACTCCAAAAACCTGTGCTCTCTCAGCAGATTTGATCCTGAGGAAAACCGAATGGGGGAGCGTCCTCCTGGAAGGCAGATCCAGTTCCATTGGGAAGGGGCCGGGAAGGGACAGGGAAGGGGCAGGGAAGGGGCAGGGAAGGGGCCTCGGAAATGCATGCTCTTGGGATTGCATCATTGCTGAGGCCTCCGCTGTTGCGTGTCCTCCCTTTCTCCTAATATGAACGTAATGGTGAGCATTCCATTCATGCTTCACCCTTTCTTTGGATTGGGGAAAGAGCTTGGGTTTTACTAGAGAACACAGGATGGAATGGAGGAAGAAACTGAAATGATCTAGAAAAGTGGCATGGCCTGGAGGTAGAGCAGGAAGTACAAAGCCCTGCGGCAACACGCCGGTGTGATGGGAAGAACAGAACACTTAGTGCACGGAGAGACAGGTGAGCAAGGGCTGTGCTGACTTCCTTGAATTTCAGCCCTAGTGCAGACGTGCACCAAGGATTTCTGAGCAGGGAAAACGTGATCTGCTTGAGTTTTTAGAAGTCTCTTTATGGGACTGGGATAATGGGTCAGTGGTTAAGATGCAGGCTACATAAGCATCAAGACCTGTGTTCCCATCCTCAGTGTTAGGT